CCACATGCCGGGCATACGTTAGGTATGCTGGGGTCTAGTCTGGATAGGTAGGAGCTTAACCTGCTACAATATCCAGACCAGAGTTGTGTCAGGGTCACGCAGGTCTCTCGAGGCAGCTCGAGCTCGTTGTCTGCTATGGGTGGTGGTATTTCTCCGAGTACGCCATTCACTGAAAGGGAGTTCATGAAGGTGTTAACCGACTCCTGGTGAATGGCGTTCAGTGCTTGTCGATACGCCGTCCTGTCCAGCGGTTGTTGTGTGTGTTGCTGGATCGTGTCCTTGAAGTCTAGTACTCCCTTCCTGATGTGCCTAGGTGGAGGTTCAGCCTCTATTAAGTGCCTACTGGGGTGCTCCCTGCGGTAGCATGTAAGTAGCCAGCAAAGTTTCTTTATCTTTACCCCAGGTGCTGCCGGCTAGCGCTTTGAGTATTTTGTTCCGACTCTGGAGTTTTGCGGCAATTGCGGTCGTATGCGGAGCTCAGCCGCTGTCTCTTCAGTCGCTGAACTATTTCAATTATGAATCTTGTGATTTCTGGTTATTTCTAAAAATTAAAAAATAAATTTAGAGGAAAGTTCTTTAATAGCAACGAGTAGATAATTAATGCAGTTAATGCTGAACTTGGTAAGCTTAAAAAGCAAGATTTTGAAGACTGTTTGCAGAAGTGGAGCTACAGGCTTAAGAAATGCATTGAATTCGATGGCGTTTATGTAGAGAAAATTGAAAAGGGCAAGGATTACGAATAAATAGAAAAAGATATTTTTTGCTGGTCAATTTACCGAACTTTTGTTAATCCCCTCGTATCTGCATAGAATATTAAATACGAATTTCGTAACAACGCGATGACTTGGCATTTTTCTATTCAAACCCTGTGGTTGTTGTGAGTAAAAATATTTTAAATATTTTTGTGCTTCTTGATATAGTTGTTTTTGTTGCATTTGCTTATATATTTTAATTGTTTTGCATTCAAAACATTTCTCAATTTCACAATTTTTTCAATTAGAATGTTTGGTCGTGCAAATATACATACAAACATATGTATTTATGTGTGTTTGTAAGTATGTATTTATGTATGTATGTATGTATTTAAACTGATAGCATTAATGAAAATAATAACGTATGTAAATACATACATATGTATGTGTTGTTCTATACACACTTGCACAAACATACAAACATATATATATTTATATATAGATATACACGTACAGCTGTAATATTTACAATTGTCGGCATTTCTTATTCATATTGCTTAATACTATTGTTATTATTGTTATTCCTATTGTATTATTTTTTTAAATTGGACTATATAAAGGGTGATTGTTTAAGAGCTATTAAAAAGTTAAAAAAAACCACGTAAAATTCAGAAAACTGCATAAAAACTTTAATTGAATCGATAGTACGCTGCATATAATTTAATGTTTGAAGATTGTTTCATGCCAGTGTTGACCGTGAGTCCGATTTTGGCATACTCTCTCCAACATTTCGGCCACTGTCTCACGAATAAATGATTCAATGTTGTCCTCCAATGCGTCAGATGAAGCGCGCTTGTCTGTCCATACAGATAGATTTAACATAGCTCCACAAAAAATAGTCTCAAGGTGTTAAATCGCACGATCTAGGCGGCCAGTTGACCGCTGCCGAACTCGCCCCTCAATAACTCCTTTGTTACGCGTGCTGTGTGGCATGTGGCACAGTCCTATTGAAACCACATGTCATGGAGGTCAAGCTCTTGCATTTTGGGCAAAAAAAAAAAATGTTGATATCATCTTACGGTAGCGCTCACCACTCGCTGTTACGTACCGATTCATATCAGCTTTGAAGAAGTACGGTCCAATGATGTCACCAACCCATAAACCGCACCAAACTGTGACTTTTTCTGGATGCATTGGTAGCTCTTGCAGTCAGTAGCATTGACTGATCTTCACTCCCCCGAAATCGACAATTCGGCTTATTTACGCAACCATGAAGCCAAAAATGCATGACGGCCGCGATAGCCGAGGGTTTAGCATTGCGTACTGCCATTCGGAAGGCTCGGGCTCAGTTCAAATTACCGTGCGATCGACATTCAAAAATGATAAAAAATTAATTTAAATAAAAAATTAAGTTAAATTTTCTAATTGCAATCGCGCCTCGGCAGGAAATGTCAACCCCTCTGAGTCGTGTATTTCTGACGTGAAAATCAAAAGCTCCTCATAAAAAATCATTAGCCTTTCGGAGACGGCTTAGTATAAGCATTAGATCTCTCCATTTGTGGGAAAACCATCAAGACGCAAAACCACAAATTGGAGGAGGAGCTCGGCCGAAAATCGCTTCAGCGGTTACAAAGTGCTAATTATATATAATATAAGCCAACAATGAGCTTCGAATGTGATGAACTTTCTTAACAGAGTGTTGTCGAAAAGATAATAGCTTAAAAAAGTCACTCTTTACATGCGAGATGTACATACATATATAACTCTGTATATATGTGCTAAGCATTTAAAAATCAATTCTACACCTCAGTTCAAGACAGGCAAGCCAGGCAAGTCGTTAATAGTTGATGAATAAATACATATGTATGTACGTGTAGGTGGGAAGATTCGGTGGTGCATATTCCTGCATACATATGTACATATTATATGTATGTTTTGTTTTTACTTTTACTTTTCTGGCAATTTAAGTGCGTTTGTTTGTATGTATGAAATCTATTGACTTGTGGCAATTGAATTTACACACACATATATATATGTGCCCACGATTTTCCATATGTTCAAACGCTTTTGCCTATAATTATGCAGTAAAAAATAAATTTATGTTGTTTGCTTTCAGTTAGTAAATTTAAAGGAGCAAAGACGTTCTACAATTTTGGCCAACAGAGAAAATAGTAAAAAGAATTGCTACAAATTAAAGAAAAAACCAAACTACACTTCCTCTTCTTTTTCTTCTTCTTCTTCTTCTTATTGGGGGGCAAAAATCAGTCAATATTTTTCTCTTTTTTGGCGGGAGAATGAAAAGGCGTACGGGCTTCCGGTTTTGACTATTAAATTTGCTTATTATATAAGATTTTAAAACGGCAAAAAATTAGTCGAAATTCAAAATGACAGCTAAAAAAGGGCGCTCTCTGTCGACCTCTGTGCGGAAAACATGGCCCAACAACTTCAAACCTACCGCCTCTTGTAGTAGACTGAAATCAAAAATCGCTGTCATTACTTGAAGATCATGGAATTTTCTAAGTCTTGCACCGCAGAGGACCCACAATTGACACGCGAAATTATTGCAAACGAATTGGGCTTGCGTGCCATGGCTGAAGAAATCTGCTCGATGGCTACCACGAATTTCGAATGAGGTCCAAAAAGAAGCTCTAGTACATTTTGCTCAATTTTTCCTAAACAAATACGAAAATAGCCAGTCTAGCAACTTTAGTTAGGTCATTACTCGTGACAAATCTTGGTTCTACAATTACGATCCACAAACAGAAGTCCATGGTATGGAGCCCAACAAAAGCAAACCCACCCGTAAAATTTAATCACCAAAATTCAGCAGTAAAAGTAATGATGTCTGCTTACTTCACTCTATCGAAACTGCAAAATGATACACCGAGGAGTGCTTACCAAAAGTTTTCAAAAATTTGTTGGAAAGCAGGAAAAAAAGGGGATTGATAGGCGCTACTTTTTACATAATAACAGAGCGCTATTACAAACTGCCATGACAATGAATAATTTTATTGAGATCTCTGGGATCGAAGAAATACGTCCAGCACCATATTCCCCAGATATAGCACTTTAAGATTTCTGGTTATTTCCAAAAATTAAAAAAAAAAAATAATAAAAGGAAAGGTCTTTAATAGCAACGAGAAGATAATTAATGCGGTTAATGCTGAACTTGGTAAGCTTAAAAAGCAAGATTTGAAAGACTGTTTTCGGAAGTGGAGCTACAGGCTTAAAAAATACATTGAAATCATTGGCAATTATGTAAAGAAGATTGAAAAGGACAAGGATTACGAATAAATACAAAAATAGTCTCACTTTCAGGATAACTTACCGAGCTTTTGTCAATCCCCTCGTACATATCAGGTGTACAACTTTGCCTCCGCCGTTTTCCGATAGGTGGCTGTACCGGCTGAGTCTGGTTGAAATACATAGATGATAATGCCTTTAAAGTGAGTGCGGACAGTGCCTAACGAATTGTCATCGCCGTTTCAGTGACAGTCGTTCTTGTTTTCATATTATTCACGCTCGAAAATGTCCATTTATGTGGCTAATTCCCGCTATTTGCAGGAAGTTTTACTTTTCTGTTACAATTCGAAAAAAATGCAGCTGAAGCGCTTCGAATGCTCTCAGAAACTTACGGTGATGCTGCTCTAAGTGAAAGAACGTGTCGGGAGTGGTTTCAACGTTTCAAAAATGGTGATTTCGATGTCGAAGACAAACATGGTGGTGGAAGAGAAAAAACCCTCAAAGATTTACTACGAGCTCTTAAAACCGGGTGAAACCATCACAGGAGATCGCTACCGTATGCAACTGATGCGCCTTAGTCGCGCGCTAAAAGAAAAGCGGCCACAATATCAAGAGCGACATGACAAAGTCATCCTCCAACACGACAATGCTCGGCCTCACCTCGCAAAAGTGGTCAAAAAGTACCTGGAAACGCTGTAATGGGAAGTCTTGCCCCACCCGCCGTATTCCCCAGATGTCGCCCCTTCTGACTTCCACTTATTCCGTTCGATGGCATACGGCCTGGCAGATCAACATTTTCAATCCTTCGAAGAATTGGAAAAATGGATTGCTTTATGGATAGCGTGAAAAGAGGACTCCTTTTTTCGAGCCGGGATCCGAAAATTGCCGAAAAGATGGGAGAAAGTTGTCGCTAGCGAAGGACAATGCTTTAAATAATATATCTGTAAGCACTTTTTCGCAATAAAGCTTTTAATTTAAAAAAAAAAACGGCGGAATCAAAGTTGTACACCTGATACTTCCGCCAAAAGTTGATATATAATTTCATATGCTTGAGATGTACAATAATTAAAAAATAATTTTTTATTTACACGCTAAATTTATTTACATATATAACAAGATTTCAGTACAAAGTAGGTGTCTTCGGCATAATATACTTACATACATATTTTCATATGGATGTATGCATTACACCTATGTACGTAAACACTTTCAACACTTAATTCAAATATAACAGACATATTTACACTAATACTTACACACTAATTAACATTTAAAAAAATAAATGTATATTTAAAACAAAAATTTGGTAAAGTAATTATTGACTATTTCGAATTAGAGGTATATGTATGTAGATATGTGTGTACGTACATAGAAATTGGTTTGTTTGTTTGTCTAGGAATGCGTGCCAAGAGCTTTGGCTTGCAAATTCTTAGCTGAGGTAAATGCTCAAATGGCTTATTTACTTTTTTCTGTGACCACATACATATATATACGTATATATATATATATATATATATATATATATACAAAAATATGTACCACTCATACTTTTCACTACCAAATTTGACATTTTCCATATTTAAAAATGGGCAAACAATAAATCAGTCCATTTAATTACATTAAATATAAAATATATGGGCGTTGGCAGATGGCACTCAATTAGATAAATAATTTAAAAGAAAAAAACATTTTTCTATTCTATTGTAACGTGGTTTTCTTATTCTTCCTCAGCAGATCTTCAATTATCCAACCCGCAATGGCAATAATATTCAAACCGTTGAGAACATGCAAAGTATAGCCATAATCCGTGGCATCGCGTATAAGACCTGAAAGAGCGTTTGGAGATTATTTAATACTGTTCACTCTTTGACTCACCCTTCCTCCCTCATACTCACCCACAATTGGTCCAAAGATGAGTGAAAAAATGCCAGACATCAGCAATTGTAGACCAGCAGCGGCGGGTAGACGCTTCAACGGCACATAGCCCGGTATGATGAGTAGCGAGAAAATTGTGCGGAAAGCCTTAAAGAGACCCAAGAAACCGAAGGTTGCTAGCAACCAATAGAAACTGCGACAATAGATGAGGAACACACGACCCAAACACATGCCCAATATGCCGATAATGAAGAAATTTTTATTACTCAACGGTATTTTCGCAGTGAGCAGTGGTGTGAGGAAACGCAGTATGACATCGCAAACGCCCAAGCAGGACATGGCGAAGGCGATTTGTTGATTCGTGAATTTGAAGTCGGACAAAATGAATGGCGTTAGGATGGCAAAATTGATCTCCACGAAATTGATAATCGTCATGCCCATTGCCAAGTTGACGTAGGTGAAGTCGCGCAACAGATCCAAGTCGAAGAATATGATCACCTTTTGATAGAAGGGCAGCTTTCGACGTGCCTCCTCTTCTTCGTCTATCATTTCCTGCAGCGTCTTTTCCGTCACGATCCGCTCTTTTTCTACAAACTCCAATTGCTTCTTATGCTGCTCGGCCTCTATACCCTCATCCAAATGCTCCAATTTAGTGGTGTGGTCGAAATTCGTATGCAAATGTTCCAATTCATCTTCTTTAATGCTCTCACTCGTCGAGAATGAGCGCTGTTTAATCGCCGCCCTACCAGCACCGGCACTACTCAAACGTCTCAGGCGCTGCATTTGCACGCTATCGCCGGTGCTGAGACGATGTCGCTGCGTGAGCGTGTTTATGGAGGTACGCGAACCATACCAACCATCATTGGCACGCGCCAAACTGTGTGTATCGGGCTCGACAAATTGTTCGGGCTCTTCGTCCTCAAAATGTTGGGACACTGGGCGCACAGCTTCGGCGTCACCTTGAATCTTTTTCACATGCCACTGCACGGGCTGGAAAATCAATGAGGAAGCGAAGTTATGCAGTGAAAGACCGGAGAAGATGAGCACGGTGCCTTTGACGCCCACCGACTGCACTAGGAATGTGGCTAAATGTGGTAAAATAATTGGACCCATGCCAGCCACGCCGAATTGATACGATGTGGCGGTGCGACGTTTCACTTTGAAGAAAGTATTCACTGCCATTGAAGACGCTGACACCATGAGACCTCGTCCGCACGCTAAGAACGAGAAGAATATTATTTTATTGCACGACAAGTAATTTAACATTGCCGAACTCACCGTAGAAAAATGAGAAAGACATCATATAGAATAAGAATGATTGAGCGAATACTGACAGAAACATGCCGATGAAGATGAGCGTTGAGCCGCCCAGTGCAACTTGGCGATATGTAAATCGTCGGAAGAGCGGTCCATTGAGTAGGCCTGTGTGGAGAAAGAAAATGTTTGTTTTGTTATTTTGAGAAGAAAGCTCATAGTTAAAGGTCCAGTCAAGGTTTATAGTAAAACCCTATTCAATTTCGATAGGACGACGGTGTCTCGAGACTAAACCTACTTCGGGTCTTCTTTTTAATAATGCATTAGCAAAGTTTTACAACTCAAAAACTGGATAACTTAGACCGAGAGCTCATAAAATGGCACTCAAAGAAATTAACAAACTAAAAGAAATGTTTTCAGGTTATTCGATCGATGGTTCCAGTGAAGCTTAAAATGGATCTCTGAGGATCATTTACTCTTACAGTATTCAAATAGGAAGATTGTGGAGATTATAGAGTCACTCTGTGCTCCGAAATCGGCCTAGGTTACTGCGTATAACTTCAGGGAATGACAGAGCTGCACAGTTTATCACTCGCTTGGGTTCCTGATTATAGAAACGTAGAGAAGAACCACAGAAGAACCAAATTTTTCTGCATAAAGAATGCTTTGGTACGGCATTAGCCTTTTTAAGGAGTCGATAAAGCTTGTTCTGTCAAAATTTGTGTCAAGCCTGGTCCGGTAGGGTTTGGAAAAGGTCAAATGGTTCCATATATCTGGCGAGATACTGCAGCACAGTACGATGTATACAAAGGCTTAAACTCTAGTGTAGATGTTGTCAGAGCTACGGGAAAGATCAGGAGGCGTCAGCATATTAGGCCCGGAAAAGTTCCACGAAGATCCCACGTTTTCGAACAAAATCTTATCCAGCTATGAGGCTTATTTCCGTATCAATGGGTATGTAAATAAGCAAACTTGCCGCATTTGGGATGAAGAGCAACCTGAAGGGATCCAAGAGCTGCTATTTGATTCAGAAAATCAACGGTTTTTTGTGGTTTGTGGGCCGTTGGAGTCATCGGTCCATATTTCTCCAAAAATGATGCAGGTGAGTATGTAACCGTCAATGGCGATCCTTATCCCGCCATGATAACCGACTATTTGATCGCTGAAATTGAAGCTCGTGATATCGGCGACATTTGGTTTCAACAAGACGGTACCACTTCCCACGAGTGGCATTGAGAGAACACTTCGGTGAGCAGTTAATTTCACGTTTTGGGCCGATCGATTGACCATCAAGTTCGAGTTATATTGCACCGTTAGACTTTTTTCCGTGGGAATATATAAAGGCTAAAGTCTCTGCTGCCCACCCGCTTCGATTTAGGCGTGTCACTCGCCAGTTACCGGTCGAAATGTCCGAACGAGTCATATAAAAATGCTAAAGAACGTTCTTTCGAATGATAACAGATATTCTTCATTAAATTTGAATTTTCTGAGTTTTGGAGGAACCCACAATTTGTTCTAAGCTGCAACCGAATATAAGGAGCTGATATTTCATTTTAGAAATACACTCGGAGGGCTTGACATTTCCTGCCGAGAGACAACCGCAATAAGAAAATTTAATTTTCTATAACTATGCATGTTGTTTGGAACATAGCTGGAACCCTGTGGTGCGATTGTTAGTAATCCAATCAAACCACTCGGCTACTGCTGCCGCCACGGATTACTTCCAGGGTTTATAACACCACGCGAGCCTTTCGTTGTGCGAGTTAACCAAATCTTCTATGATCAAATGAAAAGAGGTACCTGTTAACGCCGAGACAGCAATCTGTGTGTTGATAATCGTCGTCAGCTGCGAGCTGGAGATGCCAATACTGTACATATAATCTCGAAAAATTATGCCAAATTGCTGAGCCAAACCGAATGTCACTAACTGTAAAGAGTAAAGTTTTAGAAAAACAAATTATATAAACAAAAAAATAATATAATAAAAAACTTGAATTTCAACTCACCACAGCAATACCGCTCGCCACGGTAACCAGCCAACCCCAACCGCCATCGGGCGCTACGAAATCATCGCCCAAATCACTTTTGTCGCGACGCTTCTTCTTCGGCTTTTTATGCTGTTTGGACGCATCAGCGTCGACAATTTGTGGGGTATTATATGTTTTTGCGGGCGTTGATTTTTCACCATTTAGGGGGATTATTAATTTCGTTAATTGTGGTGAAGTAGATCGATCATAGGTGTTGTTGTGCCCATTGTGTTTGTTATTATTTTCACTCACAGCCGTTTGTTGTTCCATTTTTATATTGATTGTCATCAGTCGGTTAAGTACACCGTCTTGTTAGCGGTTTAGATTGACGGTTATGCACTAAAATAATATAAAAACAAAAGTTGTTAACTTGAAAGTTTACGACTAAAAGAGATTAAATTTATCATTATTATTCAGGTGAAGTGAGCAGATGTGAGATTGCGGCGCGCCACGAGTTTAACGTCACTCACACGACCGTTAGTGAAAGTGTTCGGCCTTTATAACCGTGAATTGGCAAGATAAGCAAGAGTACATCGCTGATAAATAATTAAATACTTGAATTTTTATTTATTTAATTTGAACTTATTTTATTTTATAAAATTTTTTTTTGTGCAACATAGAATGTAAAACAAACTTTTACTTTTATTGGGCAAAATAAAACTTAGCGTACTTGCGGGTGTATGGACACAGTATTTACTTGGAGCTTTCATATCCAAAATATAGGTAAGGTAGAATAAACGAAATGAAGAGCATGTACAGAAAAGAGGATCGCCAAGTGCTGAGCACTATCTTTGCGAGACTAAAAAATAGAAAGAAGACTTAATAAAGACATATCGAGGACACAATTTCCTTTTTATGATTTTTCTAACAAAGCTTTTTTTTTAAAGCTGTTGTAAATACCTGGACCAATAAGCCGCGGTAGCCGAGTGGTTACAATGCGTACTGCTATTCGGAAAGCTCGGGCTCAAGTCCCCGTGCTACCAACATCCAAAAGATATAGAGAATTTATTTAAATAATAAATTAAGTTAAATTTTCTAATTACGATCTCCCTCCTCATAAAAAACCAACAGCCGTTCGGAGGTGGGTTAGTATAAGCTGTAGGACCCTCCATTTGTTGGAAAAACATCAAGACGTAAGACCACAAATAGGTCATTTTTATATTTTTATATTTTATTTTAATTTTTTATTTAATTTTTTATTTAATTTTTATTTATTCAGTCTTATTGTATTTAATTTTGTTCTATTTTTTATTTACTTTATTAAATTTAGTTTTTTGATTTTATTTTATTTTATTTTATTTTATTTTATTTTATTTTATTTTATTTTATTTTATTTTATTTTATTTTATTTTATTTTATTTTATTTTATTTTATTTTATTTTATTTTATTTTATTTTATTTTATTTTATTTTATATTATTTTATTTTATTTATTTAAATGAATATTATTTTATTTGGATATCAATATTTTATTTTGAAAATTTTATTTTAGTTTATTTCCATTAATATTATTTTATTTAAATTAATTATAATTTATTTTATTTTTTTTATGTTATTTTATCTCAATTAATTTTTAGTTCATTTTAGTTAATCTTTTTTTAATTTGTTGAATTTTATTTAATTTAAATTATTTAATTTTATTTTAATTAATTTTATTTTATTTTATTTGTTTTATTTTGTTTAACTTGATTTTATTTCATGTCATTAAATTTATTTTACTTAATTTGTATTTATTTTATTTGATTATATTTTATTTTGTTTTGATTTGTTGAATTAAATTTTAGTTTATATTAATTTAATTTTATTTCATTTAATTTTATATTATTTTTTATTTCATTTTACTTAATATTTATTTATTTTATTTTTTTGTTATATTTTAGTTTACTTCATTTTGTATTATTTTTTACTCTATTTCATTATTTTTTATATTGTTTAATTTATTTATTTCATTTATTTTACCCTACTTAATTAATTTTTTTTTTATTATTTATTTTTTGTTTTTATTTTTTTCGTTAATTTCTATTTTACTCGTTTTTTAATATTGTTTATTTTTTTATTTTATTTATTTTTTTGTTTTATTTAATTCTATTTTTGGTTTTTAATTTTAATTTTTTATTTCATTTCATTCATTCGTTTTAATTTATTTGATTGCAGTCATTCAATCGGCAGGTTCTTGGTGATAATTGGTTTGTTTATTGGACTTAGTAAAATGACAATATCTATTTGTGTTTGCACAGCGTAATTAAAGATTTCTAACGATTTTCAGTATTTGTAAAATAGTTACGAAATTACGAAATTCCTTGCTTTATCATCCACATGGGGATTTCGTTATGTTCACATTTTATTATCATTTCATTTCATTTTTGATATTGGCTGAATCACATGCAGGCTTAAGTTCACAACAACAAGTGTGAATTCATGTCTCCAATATATCAATGTCAAATAAAAATCCAACCTTTTACACATAATGAAATTGTTATAAATTATTGTGTGTGGTGGAGGCAATCTAATGAAACTCTGGTCAGCAGATATTTATGTAAGCAAATGGGTTCTAGCGTGAGGCGAATATTTGAAGAATTTAGTGGCGTGATATTGAAAAAGCGTGACTTTTTTGGCGAAAAGATAATAATATATTTATCTATAATACACATATATGTTTCTATAAAGGCAAATGTGAGTATATGCAAATGTAGAGAAACAGTGAACTATCATATAAAAACTATGGTTCTACATTTATATTTACTGAATGAAATCGGACTATCCAAAAGACAATACCAGTTTATCATACACTGGAATTATACTTGCATTTGGCTCAATTGTTTAACTAGTGGAAGAAAATTCTAGTTCAGCGATGGGTATTTTGCTGATAAATTCGTAACAGCCATAATAAATGACTAACGGTTATTGTGGTCATTTCCAAAAAAGGTATACAACTGGTTTCATTCACAAATAAGTATTTCACCCCTGCGGGTTAGGGGTTCAGGAATTTACCCGCGGTAAGGCATGCCTGTCGTAAGAGGCGACTAAAATCCAATAGTTCCCGCGACAGTCGGGTCTTTATACCGGAACGACCCGGATTTTTATCCGGCCAAGGACTGTCACTCTCACAACATTCCCCAAAAAGTACTTTGGGGAATAATTTTGCGGTTACAACAACAACAACAACAACAACAACAACAAATAAGTATTTTATTAAAAGCATACTGACTAAATATGAACTGAAAATGTCTCGAAATTATATGTACATATGTATTCAGATGTAAAAGCCTAGAATCTTTTTTTTCGCTAAGAACAGATAAGTAGCAGAGCGTGTTAAGTACGAGCTAGTGTCACTCGGGTCTGGTTTTTGAGTAGTTTAATTTGAACTAGCTCACAGCTGATTTTAATGAACTGGTATTTAACTAGTATGAAGATAATGGATAGCCACTCAATAGATATACCGTCGCATATGATCTTGTAAAAAAATACTGTTTGCCAATGTGAGAAAAAGATAAGGAATAAATGAATTTTCCCTGCAGGGTACTTATGATTTACAGATCAAAATGTGTGCAAACAAGAAGACTTTTCTGTCAATAAATCATGGGGCATTTATATAAAATATTTGTTGTTTTTTTAATGCTTAAATTTCTTTAATATTGTAGCAAAGATTTAGAGTGTTGTGTCAATGTGTCTGAATATTCCACCTAATAGCGATAACTCCGCTATTGCCGTTCTGATTAAGGATTGGCAGTCGCAAAAGTATACCCACTTATGACACCACTGAGTTGTGGTGCGGCCGGTTAAGCTTTAGGATCAATTCATAAACTCTTCTCTTACCGAGAGGACTGCTCGGAGCTTTGTAATCGGCGAAACGGTTTTCGCCCTAGATCAGCCTCCGAGTTGTGGTGGGCGTCTTTGATGTTTTGAAAAAAAAAAACGGCTGATGTATTTTAGGAAAAGTTTTTATTTCATTTTATTTTTATTTCATCGAGGGAGGAAACCTTGACCTCAAATGTCGAGGATAGCTCGATATTGGTATAAGGTCAGGATATTGATGATCTTTGTTCGAAAGTTAACGGCCATCTTGACGACCTGTCCTACTTCTTCACTTGCACGACAGCTCAAAATTCCACCGACCAAACAACCTGGACGAAGGAATAGAGGCCCGAACTAGATGTGAAGACCGATGGCATTAAAATTCCGACCATGAATAACCCAAAGGTACTGGGAGTCACAGTTGACAGCCTTCGATTCGCATACGATCTATGAACCGGAGACGAACGAACCGGAGATGAGGAAACTACAGGCTTGGCAGAACACCGCCCTTGGACTGCGACAAGGAACATTTGCGCAGTGGAGCATCTACGCTACAAGTTAAGGGGCATAATACTTTCCTGCGCAAGTAGTTCCTATGCGATAACATCTCCAATAGGCATCTTTTTGACGTTGAACATCGACCCAGGTACATCAGAAAGGGATAACTACTTACTTAAAGACACCATCCAGCAACATGGTCAACAAGCGTTGGACAGGACGTAGTACACACAAGCACTGAACGCCGCCAGGAGTTAGCTAACACCTGCAAAGACTCCCTTTCTGTGATTTGCCCACTCGGAGTTAAATCACCACCCATAGCAGATGACGGGCTCGAGCCTCCTCGCGTAATAATGGCGCAACTTAGTACTGTATGTCGTAGAAGGTCAAACTTCTGTCTATCCAGATTCGATGCCGACATACTCAATGTATGTTCTGCATGTAGAGAGTCTCCGCACGACACTAACCATCTCTTTACATGAGCTCTGAAACCGACGATCTCTCTAACCCGTCGAATCAGCTCGTTTCCTAGACTTCCCGTTAAATGACCTCGGTGACTGAGATTAAATAGCCTGTCCCGAAGTGTGGCTAAATAACCGTTACAACAACAACAACAACAGGCAAGACATTTCAGTGTTAAACACTACGGATCACTGTAATCGTGAAATATCTTTGAATCCAATCTCAGTGGGATGCTTTATTGTTAATGCCGCAGGAGAGCCTCAGCGAAGCTGGAGAGCTCACATGAATCGACTGGCAGCGACCAATGTAGATGTAAATGGCGGCGTCTTCAACTTTCTATGCGGGTTCTTTTAAATCTATTCCCAAGAACAGCAGGATATGCCGAAACAATCAATTGAGAAATCTCGCTCTCAAAGAAGGAAGCAAGAAGTTGTGAAGTTAAGTTTTAAACCAGAAAATGTTCGAAAAGCGTGTATTTTTGAAAGATTGGTGGAACAAATTTTTAAGCGGCATAGTGCCCACTATAGCCAGATATATCTATATAGGTCATTTTGTATAACCTGAATTTTTTTTTTAGAATTTGGG